TTTTTTTTTTTTTTAAAAAAAAAAAAAAGGAAATTTACGTCCATTTCATCTATCAGTCAGATCATTCGATAATTTTTTCAAATTTTTTTTTTTTATTTTATAAAATAATTTTATTTCATAAAATAATTTTTTTTAAAAAAAAAAGTTTGTGATTAATAAAAAATATATCCAAGAAATTTTTATATGCGATTATCAAAAATTATTTTTTCAGTTTTATAAAAAGCCATTTTTCCACTTCTTAAAATCGATCAGTCAGATAATTAGACCAATCAATAATTTTATTTAAATATAGCTATATAAATGTAATAAATGTAAAAACCAATTAAAGTTTTTTCCAGTTTGATAAGAACCGAAAAAAAAGGTATTTGAAAAAAAATAATTTATAAGAATAGAAAAAAGAAGCCCATTATGCTTTAACTGGATAGATTCGGCGATATGATCTGTTGTAGCTGATCACATTAAGACAATTAAACTTTTTTATTAAACTTTATTAACCGGAAATCAGGATGTACGCAGGATCCAAATTTACTAACTATAATAAATACCCTGTCTCTTATACACATCTAGATGTGTATAAGAGCAAGGCGTTATGCTGCTAATCAGCAGAAAATTACCGGAATTCCAAGGCGTTATGCTGCTAATCAGCAGAAAATTACCGGAATTCCAAGGCGTTATGCTGCTAATTAGTAGAATATCGCTACATCTTTTATTATTATACCTCGCTCCGGACTTACAACGGTTCCCGTTTCCTAGTAATAATATATATTAATTGACGATAAGATCGGCACTATATATAAACGTATTAATAAAATTTGGGGTAAATTTATTATGAATTTTTATCATTTTGGAATCTGAGCTGCGTATAAAGGTAAGTCATAAATATTAAAATACAATTATTGGTTTATTTTACTGCATAAGTACATATAACAATTAAGTATTTTTTGACCAATTTTCAAAGATTTTCTTAAAATATAAAAGGTCCTATAAGCTCAAAAAATCAATTCTTCGAATTTATAATTATTTCTGTGCACAGTAGATTCAGACTATTGGTAATTTTATTAAGTACCTTATCCCCAAAATCAATTATGCCGATCTTATCCGGATTGCCAATTAATGATTTGACGTTTGAGTATAGAATGAATTCGGATTAATTTAAGGAATTGTGAAAAAATAATTACCAATAAAAATTGATTGATTTTTTAGAAAGTATTTTCGAAAAAAATTTTAATATTATGAAAATACTACAATAATTAAATGTATTAGAATCTATTCATTTCATTTTATTATTATTCTTTTGATACTCATTTTACTCGATAAATTATTAATTTAATTTAAAAACCATTTTGAATTAAAATCTTTATTCAAAAATCTTGAAAAAAAAAAAATTTTTTTAAAAAAAATAACAATACGGTCTAAAAAAATAGATAAAAAAAAAATAATATAAAAAAAAATCAGTCTTAAAAGATCTAAACAATAGGATTATTTAATAAAAAAAAAAAATTTTCAGTTTGAAAAAAAAATGAAAAATTTAAAAACCGCTTTTCTTTTTTTTAAAAAAAAAATCGGTCAAAAAAAATCAAAAAAATTTAGGTAAAATTTCATTAACTGAAATTGGATTGGATGTATGATCGAATAGTTCTTGATCATAAATAGTAAAATAGATCAGGCGGAGGCAGTCACGGGCTCACGGGTTTAATTATATGGCATGGGATTTCAAGTTATGAAGACTAATCCAAAATAGACAAATTTTTTAGTTATATAGATTTAATTATAGATTAATTACAAAATTATTAATATTGTTATATATCTATATAATTAAAAACAATCTCACTAATAAAAAATTTTCACGCAAATTTATTAGTCAGAAACAATATCATTGACTAAAAAAAATCTTACTAAGTATCGAAAAAGCCGTAGGACATAGTTCTAATCTAATTATAGTCTTGACCAAATCCAAAAAAAATAAACAATATTCTTTGAGTTAAAAAAAAAATTCCAAAAATTTTGATTAAAAAAAAAATCCCCTAAAAAAATCCAATAAAAATAAAAAAAAGGAATAAGAAAAAAATTTTGGTTAAGTTAACCGAAAGAAAGAATAATAATAAAAGGAGGGATAAAATAATTAATAAAAAAAAGACTAAAAAGGTAGTTTCAGTCTTTACGGTAAAGATCGAAAAATAAAAAAAATTATTATTATATTCTCAGTAAAAATCATGATTAATAATATTCTCCTTATAAGTTAATTATTCGCATATCTCATACAAATATCCAAGAATATGAAGAATAGATGAAATTTTAAATAATACCTTATATTAGAAGGATTTTAGGAACAAATATTTAAATTTTACGTATATTACAGGACAAATCATTCAAGAAAATTTCCGATACAAATCTACAATCTAACTTCTACACCTTACATTAAATTTACGCCTAAAATTTTGTCAAGAAATCTTATTAAATATTTTCAGTGAACGAAAACAAAAAGTTTAATACATTATATTTTATAAAAAAAAAAAGCTTATTTGCTTATTTCAGTCAAGATTCTTAGAAATTTGTGAGGATACAATGATAAAATCTGTAATCATACAACACAAAGTTATCGGGCTTGATAAGTAATTCATAAATATTAATTTTTATTTTCAAATTATTTAAAGATAGCGGTATGGTTGTAGTTAAAAAGAAATTTTTACATAAAAATGTGCAATAAAAAAAAGGTTCAAAAATAATGTTACACAATTGTGATATTACCATTGTCAGTTGGTTATACGAGTTTTTAATATGATATAATAGCTAACAAACTAAATAATGACGTCACACATAAATTTTTCATATTAGCATTTTATCCCATATCATTTATTTTGTTTATTAATTTATTTATTTTACAAACATAGAGGATTCTAGTGAGTGGAAAAAAAATCTTAATTTAGAATAATGAACTATGATTTCAAATCTTAAAACCAACATTCTGGTAATAAACAACGAAAAACAACGGCGAAATAAAAGCGGTAGCGTCCAAAATATATCAAAAAGAATGAACCGAATGAATAAAATCGAACCGATGAATCGAATGAAAAAAAAATCTAATCGAATGAAAAATAAACGAAATTTTTTTTTTTTTTATAATTAGTAACGCATTTTTTTATTAAATTTTAGGATAGAATCTATTTAATTTACAGAAATACTTAGAGGCATTCGTGCAACACGATATGACCCTATAACAAACCAGTCTATCCTAAATCTAAACTATACAAAATCCGTACTTAAATAAATTAACAAGTTTCTGCTCTTCCTCCCCCCATTTGCTGCGGTTATGGCTGATCCTGACCTCGGATAAATTTGTGCCGTAAATTAGTACAGTAAATCACCTCATCTCTCGCTGATCATTGGTTCCTCCAAAATCATCCGTTACTACTTTTAGAATAAATAAACGAAAAATAAAATATGTTGAAAGAAAAAAAAATAAACAAGAATAATATTATTAAGATTGCTCGAAATTGGTAAAATTATTTAAACATGTTTCACATAAGTATGGCGCCTTAGAATATTGGAGAAATCATCGACTGGTGTAAAAGTTGGTAAGAAGGGTTAAAATAAGGGATTTGAATGTAACTTGGATTAACATTTACAGTAACCTCAGATAGGGAGTGTTTATGCGGGGACTGTAGTGAGTGATAGAGGATATAATGGGTCACAAAGTTGGTAGGAAGAGTCAGAAAGGATTGGAATATAGTTTGGATTAACTACATTGATTGTTATCGGTAATTCCGGAAGGTGAGTTATCTTTATTGATGAAAACTAAATTTTCTTTCTGCCTTATTTCTGTTAGCCGATTTTCTACTTGTTCAGATAGATTCTTGTAAGCATCTCTTATTGCGGTCGTTTCATTGAACCACATCGAACTAATATGAGATGATATTTTCGTCATAGACACATTGTCATCAGTTCTCTTTCTAAGTTCTTTAAGGAAAGCGAGTCTGTATATGAGGTATCTGTTGGGTGCCCTCGATTTAAGTTTATCTTCAGACCTACTGTTCAAGATTTCTTCAACTGTCAGTTCTGGTGGAAATGGTACTTTAAAGAGCGGAATTTTATATTTGGTTGATTTTTTAACGTTCATTTTCAAATATTATCAAAATGAAGGAAAAAGAATTAGAACTTTGAAAATGAAATGGGGTAAACCAGTAGTATATATATTTATTTTTAAATTAGCCTTATCTTTTTCTCTTTCTTTTGGAAGTTAAATGTAAAAAGTCATAAATTTTATATAAAAAGTTTATTATAAATCAATATAAAAAGGCAAACATTACTTTTAAACATGTTAAGATCAATTAAAAAGATTTCATGCATAACATTTCGTTTTAATTGACGAAAATAGTTAGTTCACATGGATAATTTTTTCCGAATTTGAACTTAATAGATAATCTAGTTTTTTTTATATATATAAATAAAAAAAAAAAATATAATGAATATTTATTAAACAAATGACCAATAGAATTTTTTTTTAAAAAAATACTTGTCCCCTATTATTGATTCTTCTTTTCTTCTTGATAAAACTAATTCCAAAAGGTAAAAAAAAAATCTACAATAATTGTTATCTAAAAAGTAAAAAATAAATAATCGTTATACTTTCGATGAATTCGTCCAAGGTTCCATTTAATTATGGCGTTTGTTGATATTGAATGTTAAATCGTTTAAAAGTATAAAAAAAGTATTTACATATGAATCATAAATCGTTTAAAAGTATAAAAGAGGAATGTGCATATGTATCTTCACCGCACATATATTCTTTATTTACGTTTAATCGGATACGCCATATGCAAAAATGACTGTACAACTCAACTTGGTGCCCCTGTTCACAACTACTATATATGATTATCTGAACGAAGCATTATTTCATCATGCTTACTAAATTGGTAAAAAATTAAAAAAATTGTAACACTTAGTTGGTTACACTATTATCCTTTCTGATAGGATAATGAAATCCGGTATTTTTCTTCATTTTCATTTCTAGAATATATTATTGTAAATCTATGTGAACACGAAAGATTAAATCTATATTTGGGAATTATGAATGTTGTGAATGTTTCAACGAGTAAACTAATTAACCTTCTTCGTCTCATGCATATTTGATTTTCTTTGACCGCAGCAGCAAATCTAATTATTCTATTTTAAATTTTCATGCACGTTGCACATGAATTGATCGTTAAAAAGTAAGGATTTTTATCTAATTTTAGATTAATTCAAGTTATACCTTTTTATAAGCCTTTTTTGATACTTATTTTCCGTACTTTAAATAATTTTTAGCAAATTAAACCAAATTAGATTGATGTGTGTTCACTGTGTTGCTGCCACCAGGTTATGACATGAATTTATGAAACAAAAAAAAAAAAAACATTACAATGAATTATTTATTTATTTTATGTGAAGTTTGGAAGGTAAACATTACAATGAATGAATGACATATTTTTAATCGTACAATAGAATAAAACACAAATCACAGTCACATGATAATTAACCAATCAAAAATGCGATATTTATATAAAAATTTTAAACGCGCTACGCCTCTTATTTTTTCAGTACAGACATTGTAACAAAGCAAATAAGTTGGAAGCTATTATTTTAATCATTAATTATTTGTATATATTGAAATCAAATATAAAAAATAAATTATAATATTAATTATTTATTAATTAAAACAAGAAACTAAAAATATGACCTGTTTTAAAAATCCAACTATTTTTAATGTAAATTTCAGTATAATAATACTTTATTACTTTGCTGTTTATAATGGATTCTCTTTAAATTATAATCTTTATTCAAATGATACTAAAATAGTAATGCGAGCAAACAACCCATATACTAAACCTATAAAACTACCAATAATATTCTCTTGAATTGTTTTTATCGTCTATAAGTTAAAAAATACATTAAAATAGCCCGGTCGGTCGCATTTTTCGGTCGGATTTAAGTTAATTTTGATTGTGCTGATCAGTTTGTACAACACAACCATTTTTGAACTTTTGGCCCAATTTTTTGGGGGTTTTTTGGTCGAACGCCCAAAAAATAACCAACCAAAATTATATAATTTCTGTTTACATGACATTTAAGAAAAAAAAAGTAAAAAATATATATCACTATAAGGAATTCGAACTAACTTTCAATCTAAAACAGTTCAATTTGCGATGAAAATAAAAAATTTTATTGGATAAATTTTGTACAACAAAATCTGACCGAAAAAATGCAACCGACCGGAAATGAACAGGGCTAATATGTATTAAGCATCTAAAAACAATTTTTTACAAATAAATATATTATATATTACTTAAAAAAAATTAATTATTGACACTAAATATACTGAGTTGTTTCTAGTAAAAAGACTTCGAGTTTAGAGTATACAGTATGTAAAGAGTCTATTTATCGGATTATCGGAACACAAAAAAGAATTAAAAATATCTTATTAATAAAAAGTTCCATATGAGAAAATTGGGATCGGATTGGCCTAGAGAAATCAAAGTTGGTACACTCCCTATAAAAAAATTGGGATACGTTTTTTATAAAGTTTTTATACGATTTTTTTCCTTAGAAATAACGTATCATAATAGGATACGGAAAAATGCACAATTCCGTATCACTAAAAATATGGTTTGGATACGGAATTTGCACGGAATTCATATGGAATTTACATGATTTGATCACTGATTTGATCACGAAATTTATACGATTTGGTCACTGAATTTACTATTTGTATTACAGTTTACTATAATTATATTTACATAAATCTAATTTTACTTTATTAAATTAAATAAAAAATAAAAAATAAACAAAATACAAATACATTATGAAAATTCCCTACTTATTAAAACCACCTATTGCAACGAAAATTATCTATAAGTTCAGGTTCATTTGGAGTCAAACAAAAAAAAAAGAAACATAAGAATGTCTAGCTTAATTGGAAACAAAACCCCACCTTCATATAGTATCTGCAATCGTCCAAGTCACCAAAGGTCAGCATTCCTACAAAAAAAGAAAGAGAACTCCAGAATGTCTGACCTACATAAATGAAAAGAATTATGAAGCATCTGATGAAAAAGAAACCAAAACAACAAAATAAATCCAAAACTGACCTACAAAAAAAGAAGACTCTGAAGCAACAAAACTGAAACAACCTACAAAAAGAAAAGAATCTGAACCCAACTTACAAAAAAAAAAAAAAAGAAAATTTGAACTGACCTAAAAAAAGAAAAAAATCCTAAACAATCCTACAAAAAGGAAAGGACTCCCAAACTGATCTCGAAAAAAGAAACTGAATCTTCTCACAAAAAAAAATCTGCTGGCCTATGAAATAAAAAAAGGGATATATATAAATAAAAAAGAAAGGGGAATAAAGAATAAATCAAAAAAAAATATTTTTTTAAAAAGAGGGTAACGAAGTTAGGAAAGTTAAAAAAAATTTTTTTTTTCTAAAGGGAGGACGTCAAAGTTAGAAAAATAAAAAATTTTTTATAAAGAGGAAATAGAAATAGAAAGAAAAAATTTTTTTTTAAAAAAAAAGAAGAGTGGGAATAGTGGGAATAAAAGAATAAAATCAAAAAAAAATTTTTTTTTAAAAGGGGGGTGACGAAAAAAGAAGAAAAATTTAGAAAAAATAACAAAAATAAGACAAGAGAAAAGAGAAGGAAGGGAAAGACAGAAAGGAAGATCGGAAGATCAAACTCATCAAAGTAAGGGTTTATATAAAAAACAAAAAACGTATCATAACAAAACAACAAACAATCACGTGATCTCGTGTTATGATACGAGATTTTTGTAAAATTATTTTCTAAAAATATTAAGTTTAAAAATTCCGTATACATTCCGTATGATTAATTTTTTCCGTATACATTTCGTATACATTAGTTTTTTTAAAAAATGTTCAAAAATGAATTGCTTATTAAATATACGGAATTTGTATACGGAATCTATAGAAACGTACATAAAATGTATACAAAACGTTTCCTTTCCGTATACATATTTCTTATAGGGCACGATTATCACTCATCGTAGTATAAAAGACTTGAAATGTTTTTTCCTATTTTGTATTTCCTGCGCATTGTCCTACAATTCTTTTAAAAGTAATCATGATGAATATTCTCCATTTGGATCATAAATAAAAAAAATTTTTTTTTTTTATGTATCAAGAATCGAAATTTTTTGTTTGTTTAAACAAAATTATCTGATAAATTGCAAATAAAAAATGCTAAATTTACGCAATTCATTGTTTATAGAATGTACAACATATTGAATAATAGAATTATGTTTTTACAATTTATTGTGTTGAAAAATGCACAAAATTTTGAACAATTAATTGCCGCATTGCTAATTATGCAGACAATGCGCTTTTACAGGGTACGCAATATCAATTTTTTTGTGCCAATGCTGTGCATAAAAAATTTCGTGATGGTAATTATAAAAATGATAAATTATTATAACTTTATGAAATTTTTAAGATACTTTGACAATACCTATAATACATTTTTTTTATTTATATTATCAATGAATTAACAATTCTATAAAACAATCATTATAATGCAGTCAAAATATAGTGTAATATCTCGTCGTGATACTGGAATAAAATCGGATCAATTCATTAAAAAAAAAGGATCGTCATCTATATAACTAAAAAAATTTGTCTGACGTTTGGATTAGTCTCCGTATAAATAATTTGAATTGTGTGACTTGAAATCCCATGCCATATAATTAAAACCCGTGACAAGCCTCCGCCTGATCTATTTATGGTCAAAAACTATTTATCACACTGCGCCTCGTTCTATGTTACAATTGCGAAGTGTTGCAGGTAAGACAATATTCCGTTCCATTTTTATAGCATTCGCCATGCAACCCGTAATTCCCATGTTTTCCATCACAAATAGGACATGATGAATCCCACGGCTGAGCAAATGCAAAATTATAATTATCAATCCCTCTAAAACTATTCTGGAATTTCAAGTATGTGAAACGTTTTGATAATTAATTCTGGATCGGATTTGATCTCAATAGCATTGCGAACAACTAATTTTGCGAGCACGCGAAGCCCTTACAGTTATCACGTTACATGATGCTAATAAAAAAAATTTCTAATATATATAAGAACAAGTTAAAGGATGATTTATTCAAAGCTTTATTTTTACTAGTTCATAGTATCATGTGACTTTTTTACATTCTTTACTCTCGACTATATTAAAATACGATAAAAAAGCTGTTACATTAATATAAAACATAATATAAAACAATATAAAACAATACATTAATATAAAAAATTGAAAATAATTAGCAATTATACAGTAACTGTTACATTAGTAGAAAATAATTAGCAATTACACTAGTAGAAAATCTATTCGTTACAACATTAAGCAGTTTTATGGTTTATCGCCTACTGCGACAATTCTTATAGTGTGTTTGGTCCTTTCGGGAAATTTAATACCGTCTTCCCATTCATTTGGAATATTAATGGAAGGGACTTTCGGGACGTATAATATTCCGACTAATTCGCACCTATAATCGCCTACTTCGCCATCTTTACTGTTCAACGCTTCAATCACGAACCCAAGTGAAGCAAGTCTGATCAATAGTTGTCGATAACCATGATGTAGGTTCTTGGTTGTTAATTTAATTTCACCTATCTCAATTGAGACATTATTCATATCATAACTTGTTGGTCTTCCACGAACGTCCAATTCAAGAACTTTGTTGAACGGTGCCTAAAAAATTATACATAACAAACAAGAGTCAGTATATTATAACAATTTCAAATCACATTCTCAAAAGTGTGTATATAAATACATGATCGTTCTCTATAGCTATTTTTGGGTCCATGATATACGAAGTGATCAGCATAACACCCAAGAATTCTGTATTTGCGAGAAATAGACGATTTTGTGACGAACCGGTAGATTCTAATTGGCAAAATTAAGTTAAATTTTGATTTACTATCATACTTCAGTCTAAATAAACTTACTCTTTTCATAAGCTTTCCAGGTATCAAGAGCTGCTGCTGCATTGTCAGCGAGGGTATTGAGATTTTTAATAAAATTATTATTTTTGGGTAATGAACGAATATAACTTATTGAATCTTCAAGTTTCTTTCTCATATTTTTAATCTGTTCAAGAAGTGCAAAAAATTATGGTAAATAACTACCATGTGCAATAACCATCTCATAATAATTTATATTCACTTACATAAATATGATTTGCAAGTTTATCAGCACGATATGCTTGAATAGATATTTGAGAGTCGTACTTTGGGTTTTCATTGGAGAATTTTTTCCGTGGTAAAGAAAGTTGTACAAGATCATTTAGATCTGATATTTCAAATTTGGAGGAGTAATGGGAACTGCTTATTTTTGCAATTTCTTGACGAGCGGATATTTCATAAACGTTTTCTAATTCAGTTCTCATAAGATCGACTTTGCCATCAAGATTTCGAAGTGCACTCTCCAAATCTGTGAATATAGTTTAATAAAGGAAAAGGTTATTTAGAAGCAATGGATATCAAAAAATCAAGTCAGGATAGTTCACTCGCGTTGACTATTTTATTATGACTCACTTACCAGCAGTAGGTTGCTCTACGATAACGTAATGTGTTTTTTGGGCGGGGTTGACAATAAGAAGCAGGAAACACAAGAATAAGTAAGTATTCGGTATTGTTGGCGAATATGACCGAGAAGACGAAAAAAATTATGCCATATCACGTTGGCTAAATTTTTGACTCACCGGAGAGATCAGGCGCTTCTACAATAATGTGTATAAGATCTTCGGAAGGCGCTTGATTTTCAGGCCAGTAAGTGACAATTTTTCGCATATCCTTCATTAGAGAAACATCGTCATTCTCATCCTCGTTACCCTGAAGGTTCAAGTTTTGAACATCAGAAATATGTTCGTCATCAACAGGGTTTTTAAGCTTTAAAAGCTTAAGTCTGTCCGGAGTGAAATTATCAAACTCGGGTTCTCTGGCTTTCTTGATAACTTTCTTAAGCTCAGAAATACGATTATCCGTTCCTATGGTAACCCTAAAAATAACAATTTCATGAAAAAGTAACCAAAGGTTGATGGTCATTCCAGAAATTGTAACTTCAGACATTTTGTACGTTATTGTGTTATTGTTTGTATGAAAGAAATTTTTTTTGTAAAAAGGGGAAATTTGGGGTATATATGAGAAATCGACTATTGCACAGATTGTTCTGATCAGTTACATAAACGGTTTCGTTATTACAACTATGATGCATTGCGATTGAAGCATGGTCTTAATGACGACGTCTTTAATAAAATCAGCTGATCTAGCAATAATGAAAAATCACGTGATACGTTCGATAGTTATTTTTCAAAGAATTTATAGTTAGCAAGTAAAATATTTTGAGACAGAAAAAACTCTCTCCCAAAAATATTGGAACAATTTTTTTATAAAAGCACCATGACGTGACGTTGGACGTTTATTTTCATATAATTATAACAAAAAAACGTTCGTTTTCTAATAAACTTGAAAGAGTTTTTACCAGAAATGAAAATAATACAACATAAAAAAACCAAGTAAAATTATTGGAATATAATTACTTTATTCTTTAATATATTTCGTATTTTTTTATCAAAAAAAAATATGTCTGTCGTTCAGACTTTAGAATAGTCTCCATATAAATATAATTTGGATTGTGTAGCATGAAAACCAATGACATACGCACACTAAAACAAATATTGATTTTTTTTAAGTAAGATTACTAAAAATTAATAGTCTACTGAATTAACCAATCATTGATTTTTGTTGATCAAATTATTTGAATATTCCTACACGACCGATAACGAAACTTTGCATATATGTTCTTCAAAGTTTTCTCTTTCAACTGAGCTAATAAGATCCAATAAGATCCAATGTTTCAGAGACTTTTATAAGAAGGGTTTTTTTTGCTTATAGTAATAGGCTAAAATTATGGTTATCGTCAGCAAATCTTAAAACAATTATTTTTATAAATACATTATAAAATAAAACTGTTTTATGATTAAACTATTTACTGATACAGGTGAATGTTTTATTATATTAAATATTATATTACCAAGTATAATATATATTTGAAATCAAGAATAAGATCGCCGTATTAAATAATAAAATACAAAGTTGTTTTTTAACGTGAAAATAAAATATTGCGAAAATAAAATATCGTTTTCAGTAGGCCTGTTCAATTCTGATCGTTCGGGTTTTTTGATCGAAAATCCATTAACCAATCCTATAATGTGAGGTCACCTTATTTTTCGTATAATAAAATATTTTTCTTTTTTTAAAAATGGCAAATAAGCAATATCATAAAGGTATATTAAACTTTTTGAGAGCGCGTGAAACGTTAAAAAAAAGTAGTTCGGATCATTGATCCGGTCACACAATTTCATCAACCAATAAATCAATTCAAAACCTTGCCTAGTAACACATAATTCTTTGATACACAAGAAATACGCGCTTTTTATTACCGATAAACCTTTTGCTTAAAAAAAATTTTTTTTTTTAAATAAAAACATTACTTTTTTTTCTTGTAGATACGAACTTCGGAATAAGGTTTAGGTAAGGTATTTAGCTAGAACTTGAAATTGGAGAGCAAGAAAGAAATGACAGTGATATTTCTAACATTCCTTTTTGTAGGTACTTAACTGAACGTGACTTTGGCATGAAATAAGAAAACGGAAATCGGAACTGGAAGATAAAGGAACATCTCTAAGAAAAACTTAATTCTCATTTGTACTATGGACTTGCGGTATGTTCAACCTAGTTTTGGTCTATTTTTACTGCAATTAGTAATATGGGTTGGTAAGGAGGAATCGTTAGTTAAAAGCTTTATTAACTTCCTTTCGTTTTCCTACCTTTAAAATTAGTTTCGAAAATAGATTTAGTTTCGAAGGTTTCGAAGGAAAACATTATGGACGGATGGCGATAAAAATGGTGAGACCATCACGACGGTGACCTCCTCAACGTAATCCTGCCTCCTGGCAGGTATCCCACACTTTCGCGCCTGTCATCAGACGGCGGATGATGCTGGAAGTACGATGAGACCATCACGACTGTCATCTGACGGTGATCTTCTCAACGTAATCCTGCCTCCTGGCAGATATCCCACACGTTCGTGCCTGTTATCGGACGGCGGATGATGCTGGAAGTACGATGAAAATGGGGAGACTATCATGACTGTCATCTGACGGTGACCTCCTCAATACAAAGAATAATTGAATAATTTTTTCTAAACTTTTCTCACTTTTTTTTAAGTATCGGCTTCGACCCTTAACTTTGGATCGGTAAGTTTCAAAAATTTCCTTCTTTCGAAACTTTGTTTTTGAAAAAAAAATAGTATTTTTTAATATTTTTCTTATTACTTTTTTTTAGGTATCGGCTTCGACTTTTCAATTTGAATCACCAACTAGAGCATTCGGTTATGCAAACGCCAGACGGTAAGTTTCGAAGTCTTCGGTTTCAAAAATATTTGTTTTTAGATTACAATTTTGAATAACATGGTCTTCTCATTCTTTTTATGTGAAATTGGCAATAGCTAAGTCTCGGCGGGAGAAAATATCGATTAAATAATGTAGAAACTACGAGTATCGCTGGGATGACTAAAGAGTCAACTTCGGGGAAAATGTTTTGAGAATATGTTGTTGATGCTCTTTATAAGTAAATTTATTGAACAAATGATGCTTCTAAATTTACGTGTTTCGTATCTTGTAGCGAAGAGGTAAATGTAAAATTTACATTTCTTCTGATGATGTGATAAGTATAACTCCACAGATCTTCCTTCAAGTATGTTTGTCATATTGTTGTTTTATATTTCGGTATTATAGAGTATGCATCATAATAATCAATCATTTTGTAAATAATAGAAAAACCTCATGCATGGAGAGCTAATATTGATGATGATTATGTCGATAATTGTGAACAAGAGAAAGCGATGACTTTGGTAAAAAATCAAATTTTGAATTTTTTAACGTGTGATCATTGCCACAAATTTATTTATTATTATACATGCATAGATATGATGATGAAACTGCTAGTGATGATGATTCGGAAGATAACCCAATGGTAAAATCCTATCAGAAAAACCTAGATTGTATTTTTCAAGAAAGGAGAATTTTAAATGTGCCGTATAGTGATCATCGTTAAAATAATTAACAACATTGTACCAATTCGTTTAACTTGTGATGCAGACATGGGTCACACAGAATTGACTTAAACTTACAGATAGTGTCAATATGCGTATGGTCGGCGTACCTGAGTCTTCTTTGAATATTGGGCAGCTAAGTTTATAGCAAAAGGGTAATAAAATTGTTTTTATCGGCAACTTTAGAGAATTTCAATAACTAGTTCTTATTTTTTTAAAAAAAAAATTCTAATTTTTTTATTTTTAGGTATGTGACTTCGGCATTGCCTTTTGTTCCGAAACAATTCATTTCGAAATTTTTCCTTGGATTTTTTTTTGCTTTGGATAGGTAAGTTTTGAAGCTTTTCAAATTTTTTTTTTTTTTCAAAAGAAAATTGAATTTTATTCTTTTTTTTTAGATGTCAGCTTCTTTTGGGCTTTGGATCGGTAAGTTTCGACTTCAAAACTATAAATGTTTTTTAAGAAACGTTACTAACGTTTCATTTTACTTCTTTTTGTAGGTATTAATTGGTTCTCTTGGATCGGATGATAAGTTTTGCAAATAATATTATTTATGTATTATATATTATATGACATTTAATATATTTGTTATTTTAAGATTAGTATTTTAATTATTTTATTTATAATGTAAATAAATTTGAGCAATATGCATTCCGATTGGGGCCGGTTTTATCTCGATTTGTAATCGGCACTACACACCATACAAATCAGGTGACTCTATGGAGTGACAGAGAGTAATATGCATCTTAAAAGAAAATAAATAATTTAATTAAATAAACTGCATTGTACACTGGTCAAAATCGTTACTATCGGGTACATATCGGGCACCCACTAAAATTGTGAATGATCAAATTGTCAAGACCCTGATATCTAAATTTATTTGTCACTGATATGTTGTCTAATATTCCAGAATGAGATGAACGGTTCGTGGATAATTAGATTTTTTTTTTTAAATAAATTTAACAATATAAAAATACACTAGACTTAACTCTAAGTTAACGGCTAATTAAAAAAAAATAAGCTATAAAGAAAATACATGATATTGTTTAAAATAATCTAATCTAGTGTAAATTGTCACTCTATTAGGGGTTCGAAATCACTAAATTCGCTATCATCATTATCTTCCCTTCACCTTGAATTATTGCAATACGTTTGTTATTATTATTCAAAGTTGGCATATCTATTATTTCTTTCTCTTTACCTGTTGTTTTTTGAATTCTCCGTTCTTTGCAGATAATCAGAAGTTACAATGATGATCGGATTGACCGGATTAATCAGATAATCCGGTATGTTTTTTTTTTAAAAAAAAAACACTTCTTTTTTTTAGGAGCGTCTTTGACTTCGGTCTTCTCTCTTCGGAATTTGACTTAGCCAGTTTAGACAGCTTTGGTTTTAGATGGAAAGTGTAAATTTCTTTGTTCTTTCATCTTGGGAACGTCATGTTTATTTTGCTTCATTTTTTTAGGGGACGTCTTTCTGGAACTGGATTTCGGCTTGGGCTACGAAAGTAAGTTGAGAGGAGAAAATTTTCATTTTTTTGTCATTGGGTACATTATTAACGTTCATTTTTCTCTTTTTCTTCAGGGGACGCCTTCCTGGACCTGGATTCCGGCTTGGATTATGAAAGGTAAGTTGTGAGGTAGGGATTTTTTGGTTTTTTTTTGTCTTTGGAACGTCATTAACGTTTTTGATTATTATCTTTAGGGGACGCCTTCCCGGATCTGGATTCCTGGATTATGAAAGGTAAGTTGTGAAGTGATGATTTTTCGTCTTTAGGGAGAAAAATTTTTTTTTTTGATTTTTTTTTGTTTAACGATCATTACTAACTGTTCTTATTTTTTTAGGCGAGTTTTTTGGGTATTAGGACGGGGAATATCGGCAAGTAAAAAAAAATATGTATATATATTTTTATTTTTCCAAACATTAACAGTTCTTTTTTTTTCCTTTTTTTAAACGATTTAATTTTTTTTTGCAAGTCTCAACTTCGGACTAGATTTTCTTTTTTTGTAGGTCTCTTCTCGGCCTTTTGAACTGGACTTGGAATTTTTACTTTTTTGTAGGCATCGGCTTCTCCAGAAGAGTTCTTTTTTTAACGGCAAATTATCTTTTTCGAGGTGGAATTTTGAAATTAACTTCAAGAAACGTACTAACGGTTCTTTTTTTTATTTTTCGTAGGTATTGCTTCTCCAAGTTCTTTCGATGGTAGGCTGATTTCTTTGGGTGAAATTTTGAAATTGGCTTTAAGAAACGTACTGTTATCACCGGTTTTTGACGTTTGGTCAGGTAGTAACAGAAAGAAATATAAGAATTGGTTAACAAATGATAGGTAGGATGACGTTATATAACAAGTGATATGACACTAGTGTATACGAATAAATAATGATGTAAAGTGAAAGGTTAATAAACGATATAAACGATAATGAACGATAATAAACGATGTGTGCATAATGGTGAAAATCTCATAAAATTTTTCGAATCTAATCATAAAAATATGAGGATTTATTTGAGTTCCATTTAGATACACGCTTTATAGCTCTAAATCGAATAAAATATATTTAAAAAACTTTTATTAGTCTCATAAAAAATCTATATATAAAGAAATTTTCTGATAAACATTTTAGAGGATTCATGAATTAGGGATAATGGGAAAGGGAATATTGTTAAATCAAGACTATAAATCATGGAGATATAATCGTCATTTTTTTACATAAGCCATGCTATTTTATCACCAAAATTTGTTAATGTTATTACTCCTCATTTGGTAAATAAACTCTTTAATGAAATTCGTGGATATTTCTACATGGTTTAATCAATTTACAAATGATATAATTATCCGCATCATTAAGCTGGATACTCCAACGGACTTACTAGTGAGAACGAAAAAATTGAACGTCAATCTGCATTAGTTGATGAGACTGTAAAATTTGTTCGTGCAATTCGTAAATATTTTTGGGTTATCTAATAATGTTTCAATTCGTATCTCCATTTAAAGACATTATTTTTCATATTTTAAGAATAAATCAGCTGATTTTATTCAAAACATCAAATTTATAAATCAAAAAATGGATACAATTATCAAAAGGATGTATGTATAAAATGCTCCATTAGATAAATTTTTATCAAATTACCTTTTGACATCGATGATTACTGCAAATACACCACCGGGGTATAAATTATAATAAAATTGATGATAAAGAAGTTATGAGACCTATGACTGATCTTGAAACTCGTGTTATTATTTTCGATGATACCGTGAGTATATTTTTCGTACTGTATTTTTATCAAATATTTGACAAAATTTTTGGTTTTGAATATTATTTTAAATTTTATTTTTATCCTTCAATAGACTGCGAATACTATTTCATTCATTGTCTATTACTGTATCTTGCAAATTATCCAGATGGTAAAAAGAAAATGTTGAACGAAATCGATAGAATCTTCAAGTTGACAAAACACGTTCAATTACCGAAAATGATGTTAATAATTTAACTTATCATGAAGCGATTGTAAAAGAAGTGTCTTGCATTTTCTCAGTCGTAAATTAAGATGTTCTTAAAAAACATGATGAAATAGGAGGTTATCAATGGTCAGCTGAAACAATAATTAGAATTAATATTGATGCTATTAATAATAATGAAGAATACTGAGAAGAACCAAATAAATTTTACCCTGATAAATGAATGATTGAAGGTTAAGAAAAATTCATTTATTTCGTTTGACGGAGAACTAAGAGTTTGTCCAGGAAGAAAGTTGGTAATGTTTGAATTAATTTGTTTAATGACTTTATTATTTAGAAAATATGATATTGATTTAGTGGATAAGATAGCTCCTTTAAAACTGAATCAGGTATTATAGCTGCCTGTACTGAATTATTAGTTAAAATTAAATTAAGAAATTTAACATTTTTGTGAGTATTTAAAAGGATACGCAATATTTAATAATAATGTAAATTGAATTTTTCAATCATACTAAGTAAAATAAAGAAAAAATCGTTTATTACATATGTACTATGAAACTGACATTTGTTAATATTTTTTTTATATTTTGATATTTTAAAATCTGATTAGTTTGGACTCTGAATACCAATTTCTTATGACGTTATACTGTTAGCAAACTTATTTTTCATTAATAGTTATTACAAGAGTAATAAATATTTCAAACTACAAAAAAAACTCTTCTTTTCGATCGAGACTTAACTAAAATTTTATGTTCAAAAAATGATAACAAGTTATATCATGAAGAGACTGAAGTGGTACAAATTTTATTAATTTTTGAGTTTCTCTTTATTAAACCAACTTTTGTTATTTTTTTATTATAGGTTATGTATTTTTTTATTTTTGGAAAATAGAGAAATATTGACCAAACGACCAGAGACGTTTTAACAAAAGTTGAAATATTTTAGAAAAACGATAAAGAAAGTCCAAGCCTTTTTTTTTTGATAAAAAGAGTGTTTTTATTTAACTTTTATGAAGTAAATAAGATGTTATATGACCTTAAAGTTTTTGATGAAGAAAAATTTTCAACCTGCTGCGGGTGGCGAAGTAAAGATGATAGTCACATGGTGACCATAAATGAGAAAGTGATTAAATAGATAGTGGAACAGAAGTAGCAGATGTTGTGCACTTCACCTTGCAGATCATTAGATCAAGGATGATAAGAACGGAAAAATAATTAAAATAATTTAATATTCCAAAAAAAAATTTTTTATTATCAAGTTAAAGATTTTTATTTGTACTAGCTACGGGACTTTTTCTGGAAGGATGGTAATACTTATAGCTTCTAAAAATTATAAAACAAAACCACCGGGATTACTATATTAGTATGTGGCGTATGCAGTGCTTAATTATTAGTCTTCTACGTCTACGTAATTGAGAAGTGTGGCATTAGGATAGTTTCTTGATGATTTTTATTAAAGAGAGAAATTAAAAAAAAAAGATTTTAACATATCAAATTAGTAATTTATATAATGACGACTTCTTTTCTTCTTTCTTTTGTATGTAACGTTGATTTGCATGCATATCACAAATGTAGGTAGTACAAGTTGCTTTATGTAACATTCATTTTGGTTACACATTACTATTTTAATTTGTATAACTTCGAAGTTAAAACGCCGGTTTCAACCTTTTCTTTTTTTTTTTATTTAAAAAATTAATAAACATATTTGATAAAAGGATTTAAAGCCTTATAAAATATTTCATTATGTCATATACTAAAAATAAATTAATTAATAATGCACTTAATAGATCATATGCATTAACAGATTACAATATTCATAATGATATACACAAAAGACATGAATTTAAAAAACAAACAATTCTTGATGATGAATCACTTACGGAAAATGAAAAATCTGAAGCAATAAGAATATTAACTAAAACTTATGATCTTGCCAAACTTCTTTTTAATGAAGGAACAAAAAGAATTTGTGAAAATTGTAACCAAGAATGTTTAGCCATAACATTTTGTGAATATTGTGTTCGAAATTATTTAAAAGCAAAATTTTCAAATTGGACATCTGGAAATGTTATTATTGATAATTTAATACAAGAATGTCAAATGAAGACAATTGACCCAGGACTAATACCAGAATGGATTCCATATAATAATCTACAAAATATTTAATATCTAACAAAAGGTGGATTTTCAGAAATTTATACGGCAGGCTGGATTAATGGGCATTTTATTGAATGGGATTTTGAAGAGCAACAATTAAAAAGATATGGAGATTGTTATGTAGTTCTTAAAAAATTAGAAAATGTTGAAAATGCAAATCAAAATTGGATTGAAGAGGTTTGTAATCAAAATATTAAAAAGTTAACAAATAAATATTTTGTTTAAAATTTTTAATGGTTTATTTTATAGGCTAAATCACATTTAAATATAAGCAATAAATGGAGTGATATTGTCCAATGTTTTGGATTAACACAAAATCCATCAAAATGAAATTATATGCTTGTAATGAATGAGATGGATATAGATTTAAGAAAATATTTACAACAATATCATAATCAACTTACACGGAAAGGAAGAATTCAAATTATTACTGATATAACACTTGCACTTCAAAGAATTCATTATGAAAATGCAATTCATAGAGATTTGCATTCTGGAAATATATTATATTATCTTGGTAATTCATTCTTTATTAGTGACCTTGGATTTTGTGGACCTGCAGATAAACCATTAAAAAGTATATATGGAAATCTACCTTATATTGCACCTGAGGTTATTATTGGAAGAGAACAGACTTTCAAATCTGATATTTATAGTATTGCAATGCTTATGTGGGAAATTTCATCTGGACAACCACCTTTTATTGATTGTGAACATGATTATGATCTTGCTATGAATATTGTTAATGGTATAAGACCAAAAATTGTACCAGGAACTCCTTTAGAATATAAAAATTTAATGAAACAATGTTGGGATGCTGATCCATCAAAAAGATTTGATATTGATACACTTGATAATAAAATGAGAGAAATTAATTTATTTTATCAAAGTAAATCAAATGAATCATTAATTCAACCAGAAGAAAATAATAATTTTGAAATGGAAAATTATACGAACAGTAGCAAAATATTTACAAGTAAACTTCATCAATTTGATAATCTTCCTGAACCAAGAAATGCAACAGAAGGTATTTATTGCTTTTTGTTAATTGTTTAAAGAGTATATTAATATATTTAATTAATAATGTTTATTTTTTTTTTAATTTAAACAATAATAGAAGAACAAGAAGGTATAAATTAAACAAATTCTTATATAATTTTTAATTTATAAAATTAATGATAACACGGTTAATTTTTTTATAGCATTTCATAGTAATAACTCATATGATTTTCATATTCCTAATAATAGTAAGGGCAATTATATTTATGTTAAATATTATATAATTAAGCGTTATTTATTGACTTATTTTGCTTTTTTAGTTGATGAATTTAACAAATTAAGTAGTAAGAAAAATAGTATTTCAAAAATAAGTAGCATATTTAATGGTAATTATATAATATATCTTTATTTTGAAATGAATGAATAACTTATATTTAAGATTATTTAGTTAGCAGCAAAAAGTTATCCAATATATTTAAAAGAAGCTCAAAAAATGGCAAGTAGTAAAATAATTTATAGTATATTAATTATATTATAATTTTATTAATAAATGATTTAATTTATTTAGATATTCAAAATAATTATAAGATTGAAGCAATGCAACAGCAAACAATGAATCGTCATATTAAAGATAATGGTGCGAAAAAACTCATATTTTTATAATACTTTATAATGTTTTTTCATTGATTTTTTAATTTTAATACATTATATATTTGGTAGATGAAGATGAAGCACATAACAATCCAAATCTTCATTCAGAAGAACAAGATGAATTGGAGCTTCCTGACAGTAAGAATTTATTTTTAAATGTTAAATTTTATTGACAAATTACAAAATTTGACAATATTTTTATCATAGCTATTTAGGTATACACATTATATAAAATAAATAACATTATTACGTCTGATTTTTTTTTATCATAATTACTTAATCACTATCGTTAAAGAAATCTAAACTATAATTATTCAAAGATAAAGTCCATCCTCCCGAATGTAAATAATTCAAAGTAGCCAAAATCATCCAAAGAGGTACTGGTGAAGGATTCCATATGGAATAATTTTGAGATCTATGTAGTACGAGGGATATAACTTGATGAGTTATTTTTTTAGGTTTCTTGGTTGTAATTTGTATAATTTGTTTATTATTATTTTTTTTTTATATTATTATATTATGAAGTATCAATTATGTAGTATAAACGTATTTTTATAAAATAAATTAAACATATTTTTAATATTTAAACATTTTACGCACGTACGCATGGCAATAAAAATTAGAAAATGGTGAAAAAAAGTTTGAAAGTTTGAAAAAAGTTTATTATTATTATAAAACATGTTGTAATACATATTAATTATCACACACTACTAATCATGCAGGTATGGCATCACGTACGTGAAACCACCTAAAATGCGCATTTTGCCCATCAACCTATAAACTTTATACAAGTTATATAAAAAAGAATTTGAGAAGGAATTTAATGTGTCAGTCTAGATGAGTCATTTTATCATAAATTTACATGAGAAAAAACATGAGAGTTACGTCATTCTAAATAACTTTTCATAAGATGAATATTTATGATATTCAGATCTCAAATGCATTGAAACTATAATATTTAAATATTATGTGACTTTTAGACAATTTTTTTTTACGTGTTATGGACTTTATTATGATTTCAGTTTATATTACAAAAATCAAAGTATTAGTTGAAAAATTAGCAAAAAGCATTTTACATGATCGGCAATTTATATCATGATCTCATAGTATACTCGAATCATGGTATAACGAATCGAAACTCATGACAGATTCGAATCACAAAATTCTATGGTCGAATATTCTAATTTACTTGATTTAAATGAACATTTGAATATCCTAATTTTAAACAGAATTTCTATTTAATAACTGAGAGTTGTTACGTAAATATAACAATAATTTATTTATTTCTTTGTTACAATATATGTATAAATACAGAATTTATTATATTTTTGTCTTAAATAAAATTCATCCTTTAAATACTACATTTATTTCTTTATTATTTGAAAAACTTCATAATCTTCTATAGTAAATTTACCTTCACTATTAGCTCTTATATTTTTTTCATAATGCCTTTTATAATACTCAGTGCAATTATAATCTTCCGATACACTTGAAGCACATATATTAATATCAAGACCAAAATATGGACCAGCTATAGATTCAAAAAATAACGCATATTCAGAATTTATTATTTTACTCAAAATTGCATCTTCAAAATTATTCTTATTTTTAAAAGAAAAAATAAAACTATCTTCGGCTTTACCCCAAGCCCAACCATAAGATTCCCATATTGATGGATTATACCCACCAATAATTTCTTCTGTTCCTTTTATTTTAATAAATGTAACGGTATTAGGTTTTTTATCACATAATTCATGAAACTTTTTAGGGGTAAATCCATCTCGGCTTCCTCTTAATAATAATTCAAATTTATATGGTAAATATTTTTCATTAAAATTGTTATTATTAATAACTATTTTATCTATCCATCTTGAAATAGTTGAAACAATACCAGAATTAACAATTAGTGAACAAATAACTTCAACGTTTTCATTAATTATTCTAGGAAGTTGAATGTTATGAGATGATACACTATCAGGATCTAAATAAAAGTTTAATAAATCTTCATAAAGTTGTTGATTTAGGAGTTTTTGATATGGACGAACTTTTTGTGAAAATTCTTTTGATGATAAACAAAATAATCTAACCAAAGGTAAAGAACTTTGTAGAGTACTTTTCATTGCTTTAAAATCATCATCAGACCAAGTTTTAGGATCTGGAATGAGAGTTGGATTTTTTGCAAGTCCCCATTTTAATACATATTCCCATACTTCAATCTCTTTCATTTGTAAATCATCTCTCTTAATAAGTGAAGTCAAAGATTTCTCAGAAAGTGAAGTAAAATTTAGCGATTTAAGTACTTTTTCGGGAGACCGAACCATTAAATTTGTACAAAATTCTTGAAGTTTTAATAAATTATTAGAATTGGAGCTAATTTGTTGAGCAAATTCAAAATGTTGTTCTAACCATTCGGATTTATTTTCAATTAAATATCCTTGTAAATAATCAACTAGTTCTTGAAGATTAAGCTTATCTGCAGTAGCCAAAACTTCAAGGTCTGATGTGTCTTTTTTATCCAATGAAAGAATACCACCATAAATATACCTATTATAAAAATAAAGTTATAATTTGATTATTAAAATTATGCATATCATAATATTTAACTTACTCTAATATAATTTGAAAGGTTTCCGGTGATGTATTTGATAATTTAATATGGACTAAACCGTTATCATTGTTCTTTTTGTTAGACTTTAATATTCGTCGTAAATATGGAGAACGGTAACACAAAATATTCATATGAGCACGAAATATTTTTACGTTAGGATCTTCACCAACTTCAATAGTGATATCATAGTATTCATCATCTTTTAATAATTCAATGTAATTTTGACTTAATTTCGAAAAAAATTGAGTAACCATTTTTCTTTTTTCTTTTTTTTTTAAAAAAAAAATATATAAAAAATAAAAATAAAAATAAAAATAAATAAAGTTTTATTTTATAACGTTTCAGGTAGTAGTACAATATACAATAGTAGTACAATTGTCTTCCGAAATAGGTATTTATTTTTTTTTATGAAAAAAATTCCCGCAGTATTTGAAGATCACAAATAAAGTGATAAAAAAAAAGTTTAGAATTTAATGATTTGTATCTTTCCATTAATTTAAACTTTTCCATATTAAAGTTAAAATCTGGAATGTTTGACCCTTTAACCGTTATATTTCTAGTTTTACAAGTAAAATTTCATATCTTTAGTTTTTACCTTTAACGAATTTTGCATGCAACATTTTGATAGGTGTAATGTTTATAAAAATGGTTCAAAAATAGTTATTAAAAATAATAATGCAGTTTTTTGATTTCTGATTCTTAACTATTCGATATAGAATAGCTAAATATTCACGAGTTGGCTTTTCTTGCTTCTCTTATTTTTTAGTTAATGCAATTATTCAATATCTTTCCAAATAATATAGTAGAATTTTCTAGAAAATCTGGAGATATGAATTTTTAATTAGGAAAATAAAAAGTTTTATTCAAAAGATTTATGGTAACATTAATCATGATTGTGGTGGAAAACCACGAACCTGAAAACATTAAAAGACAAATAATCAATCACGTTATATATATGAGATTTCTAGATATCTCGTTGCCGTTGCTTTTTTCTGCATTATGCAAACTTTATCTTCTATTTTAACTATTTTTATTAGGATCAAGATAAATATTTTTATTCCGTAGTAACTAAAAGAATTTTACATTTCGCTTTACACTAAAAGTAATGTGGATCATAATTTAATATTGTGATTTCATTCTACTAAAAATTAATGATATCATCGTTTTAATATTTCAATATATCAGTAAATAATAAAAAAAAAAATAAATAATGAAAGGATTTTATTGAAATCCTCGGAATTTTTTTGTTTTAATCTTTGAACTCAACTTTTTTTTGAGTGAAGAAAGAATAATTTTAATCTTTTAAGACAAAGATAAGTTATCATTTGATTATGTTTAATTTACGATTAACTTTTTTTTATTTTTCAATTTCTAAATATTTTCTTATTCAGTTAATTTTTGGTTGCGCCTAATTATAAATATTCCACTTAAATTAATAATTATTATAATGATTATAGAAAATAACAATAATTGATTGTCTTGAACTTGACGCATAACCTGTTTAATTTACTACAACATGGATAGTTTATTAAAAGTTAAAAGTTAATATTTGCATATTGAAAATAAGCCTTTAATCATCTTATTATAAATCAAAAATTTGTTTACTCATAATTCTAAATTCAATATAACAAAGCTTTTTACTTAAAATATAAATAATTTTCTTAGGCTAAAATTTGTTGTCTCAATTCTTTAAGTATGTTTAAAATTATTAATCAGATAAGTCATAATATTACTGTATTATGAATTATAATATTATACCAAATCTTTGTCTTTATTAAGGTAAAATCGAAGGATAGTTTAAAGTATAATTATATATTTATTTCATTATGATTTTATATAAATTCAGAACTATAATATTTTGTTATTAGATTTATCTTAAATACAATATATGTTTTGCGTCATATTTACTACATGATGATTACGGTTGTACAACAAACATTCTTGGCGTTTTTTCCCAATTAAAATTCATTTTTTCCTCTTGTTCTGACAAGTTTAATTGACCAAATTTTTCAAAGAAAAGTTCAACATTAAAATAATTAATAATGCCACCTCAAAATAAATTTGGACGATGTGAAAAATGTGACGAACAATATATAAGTAAAAATCATTCAAAATATAAATGGTGTAAACCATGTCAAGTGAATAATTTAAAATTATTTTATCAAATTGGACCAGTGAAAATGAAAAAATTGATGATATTATAATTGATAAAATAATTGAATGGATATATATATTAGTTATTTGATAGGGGTGTAAGAATATCACCGAACTGGTTCGCAGTTCGGTGATATTCTAACCCCATCAAATAACTGTGTTCGCAGTTCGATGATATTCTAACCCCTATCTAAAAACTGTGTTATTCTGCAGCCGCCAATGATCATCTTATAAATACGATAAACTATTGATTAAACAACGTCAAAAATATCAATAATAATTATGCAATAGTAGTTTATTTATAGCTTAATAAAAAGATTTCAGCATGATGAAAAAAGCATGATCCTATTTGGCTGTAGAATAACTTATGATAAATTTAATAATATTGAAGAAATAGGTGAAGGTTATTTCGTTAAATATTTAGCAATATGGAATGAAGGTCCATTATATTATGATTATAATAAATATGAATATCTAAGATTACAAAATAAAGAAGTTGCTTTGCTTGAGACACGAAATATTACTGATGAATCCTTAAAAAATGACCAAAATTTGACCAGAATTATAACCGGTTATGTACATGTCATGTGATTTATAATTTCGGTTGTAATTCTGGCCAAATTTTATAATTCCGGTCTAAATTATATTTTTTTTCATCGTTTTTTTGAAAATCACAAGGGAGAGGTATTTGATATAGAGGCCTTTATCGTTATAAAATATTAAAGAAAACAAGTTTTTTGTGCATGTTTAAAAAAATCTTACATTAAAATATTGCGTGCTAAATTCGTTAAAATCTCCTAACATCAGAAATTTAACGGCGACAAGAGTTTTTAAGAGAAATGTTCAGATTTTAACTTAGTAGGAAATGTAACCAAATTTTGATTTTTTTTATTTCTTACATTAGAAATACTATTTCTGCAGCTACCCTCGGATTACGTTAAAAAAAAAGTCATGATATTTCCGTTTTTTAGAATAAGGATTCTCGATTAACTTTATTGGAACAAGTATTGATTCTTCAATATTCAGAAAAAAATATATTTTCTTCGAAATTTAGGTAAAAAATAGCAAGTACTACACTATTCGTGATGTAATTTAACTTTTAATTATGATTCCTATTGTGAAGGTTTCATTGAGTGCTCTGTAAGAAATGTTTAATACATATCAGATATTGTTTTCCGTAAATGTAACATATTCACGATGTTAAGTTAAACAATGTTAAACAATGATGATATTCTTTATTTAATATTAAAGAAATAATACATTATTATAAAAAGACACTTTTTCATTTTATTAGTTAATAGAACTTTGTGTGAAATTATTGTTTCAACATGATTATATAAAAATCCTTTTTGATGAGTTAAGAAATAAATCATAGAAACTTGATTTTTCAACAAACTTGTATAAAAAGACCTTTATTTAATTATTTATAGTAGACATTTAGTATTATCTTAGTACGCTTTAAATATAAAATATTATACATTAATTTAACAAAAATAAACTAGTATAAGTTTGTTATGTTAAAAATAATTATTTATTTCTTTGTTAAAATGTTATAAATGACGTATAAATATTTTTATTATATTTTTTGCCTTAAATAAAATTCATTAATTAAACACTATATTTATTTCTTTGTTATTTTAAACACTTCATAATCTTCTATAGTAAATTTACCTTCACTATCTCTTATATTTTTTTCATAATGCCCCTTAAAATACTCTGTGAAATTATAATCTGCCAATACATTTGAAGCACATATATTAATATCACCACCAAAATGTGGACCAGCTGTAGGACCAAAACATAACGCAAATTTAGAATATATTATTTTACTCAAAATTGCATCTTTAAAATTATTCTTATTTTTAAAAGAAAAAATAAAACGTTCTTCGGCTTTACCCCAAACCCAATTAGCACAAGATTCCCAAATTGATGGATTATACCCACCAATAATTTCTTCTGTTCCTTTTATTTTAATAAATATAACAGTATTAGGTTTATTATCACATAATTCATGAAATTTTTTAGGGTAAATCCATTTCGACTTCCTCTTAATAATAATTCAAATTTATATGGTAAATATGATTCATTAAAATTGTTATTATTAATAGCAATTTTATCTATCCATCTTGAAATAGTTGAAATAATACCAGAATTAACAATTTGTGAACAAATAACTTCTTCGATGTTTTTATTAATTTTAATTTTTCTAGGAAGTTGAATGTTATGAGATGATACACTATCAGGATCTAAATAAAATAATAACATATCTTCATAAAGTTGTTGATTTAGAAGTTTTTGATATGGACGAACTTTTTGTGAAAATTCTTTTGGCGATAAACAATAAAATCTAACGAAAGGTAAACAATGTTGTAGAGTATTTTTCATTGTTTTAAAATCATCATCAGACCAAGTTTTAAGATCTGGAATGAGAGTTGGATTTTGTGCAAGTCCCCATTTTAATACATATTCCCATACTTCAATTTCTTTCATTTGTAAATCATCACTTTTAATAATCGAAATTAAAGATTTTTCAGGAAATGAAGTGAAATTTAATGATTTAAGAACTTTCTCGGGAGACTGAACCATTAAATTTGTACAAAATTCTTGAAGTCTCAATAAATTATTAGATTGTGAACTAATTTGTTGAGTAAATCCAAAATGTTGTTCCAACCATTCAGACCTATTTTCAATTAAATATCCTTGTAAATAATCAACCAGTTCTTGAAGACTAAGCTTATCTGCAGTAGCCAATACTTTAAGAAAGTCTGAAGTATCTTTTTCATCCAACGAAAGAATACCGCCATAAATATACCTATCACAAAAATAAATGTTATATTAATTTGAACATTCAAGGTCATGTCATATTATAATATATAAACTTACTCTAATATAATTTGAAAGATTTCCGGTGATGTATTTGGTAATTTGATATGAGATAAAATATTATCATTATTCTTTTTGTTTGAAGCTAAAGCTTGTCGCAAATATGGTGAACGATAGCATAAAATATTCATATGAGCACGAAATATTTTTACGTTAGGATCTTCGCCAACTTCAATGGTGACATCATAATATTCATCATCTTTTAATAATTCAATATAATTTTGACTTAATTTCGAAAAAAATTGCGCGATCATTTTTTTTAAAAAAA